GCGTGAGTCAGGATGTCGTATGTAAGCAACTCAAGCGCATGTGGATTTCCTTCTTGATCCCAGATTTCGAGATGAACCTTCTGACAGTTTCGTTCAACTATTTCCTTTGTACCAAAGGTGTTCAATCTGATTTGTCGCTCCTTCGAGCACAGGTAGGTGGAGCTTTCTTGCCAGGCTGCTATCTATGAAGGAGACCTTAGCTCCGATATCGAAAAGAACGTCCACTCTGAGGAGGGATTTGCTCTCGGGATCCAGTATTGTTACCTTTCCTGTAGGTAAGCATGGATGGCGCGAAATCTCTGCATTGAACATAGTCTGTGCAGGATGAAGCGGCATTTCCTGTGCGACATTGTCCACTTCTTGGGTGGTTACCATATTAGACCGAATGCTACTCGGCAACCCTTTTAACCCTTTGACTACTGGTGGGACACATGTGTCCCACTTCGTAGTCAAAGACACTACCACAGTTCCAGGGAATATTGAGGCAGGAGGGCTCATTTGATGGCTGAACTGTGCACATATAGAGGCTTCCTAATTCCTACTATGTTCCCAAGTTTTCAGAAAAGCTTGGCGAACGTGGCAGCTTTGAGTTTGCGGTAAATGGAGCTGGTACGCTGTGTGCCCGTTGGAAAGGCTGCAAGGAGGTCCTGGTAGTCAGCAATTGTCACGCTGACTACAACGCATGTGTTGCGCACAATGAAGGATGGATCGCGAAAAGAAGTTGAATGCCCTGAAGCTGTCTCCTTCTACAGCAGCATAATGGGCGGAGTAGATCTGTCTGATCAGAAATGTGCACTTTACGACTTCAATAGACGTTCCAGAAAATGGTGGTAAGGTGTACTATAAAATACTACAGGTGGCGGTTGTAAACGCATGGATAATATATCAGGAAATCCATCACGAGAAAACGAAGCTGATCAAATTCCTTGTTCCTCTTGCTCAGCAAATGATTGCGCAGGGGAGGGAAAGGACGGCTAACAGGCGCAAGCCCGGCATGGGGAGGCCACCAAAAAATTTCAGGAGGATCATCAACGTTGGGGACCATATGCCACTACAGTTAAAAACGCGTCGGCGATGTAGATACTGCGCGATGTCAAAGAAAGAAACTCGTACAAAAATAATGTGTGCTGCTTGCAACGTGCCCTTGTGTATATCATGTTTTACTCCGTACCACTTCATAGACCATATAATGTTGACCTTTTCAAACTTTTTTTGTAAAAGTTTTCGGGTCATTGAAGACTTTAATATTGTAAAAAATGTGTGGTTGTAGAATTGCCAATTTATTGAACAAAAAAATCATCCGAGCGGAAATGGTGTTATGACAAGACGGGCCGCTACCGCGCGCATGGTCCCTAGATCAAATCCCAGGTCACACCCAACGTACATCAGCCAAATTTCTACAGCTGGTTGCCTGTTGCTGGGAGGGATAATTGCAACGCAGAACACATTTATAACTCGATTCTAAAAAAGTCGTAGTCTAAGGGTTAAGTTGGCTTCCCTTTTTGGTGTCCCCGCCTTATTTCCTGAAATGGTCCGATCTTGCGTTTGCGACCCGGATACCTACTGTTTCTGTTCGAAACAGCACGACGTGTGATGTGAGAGAAACATAAACGGCCCTTGCACTGGGTAGAGACATGACTAGGCGATGCACAAATAAGACACAGCTTATTCTGCCTCAAGTATGAGGACCTATCCTGAGGTGTCGTATATTTGGGACACTGATTGGATGCATGGCTCCCTTTGCAATACATACACCTCGCCGCTATAGAGCAAGTGGTTCGTCTTTTACCATAGAAAGTCTTTTCTTTGGTCACAGGTGGGGTTTTGTCCGCAAAAACTTGAAACATCTCCTCTGAGGAAAGGGTTTCGTCTATCAACTGGTATAGGTGATTCATCGTAAATGAAGTTTCCATCGATAAGCTTTGCTTTTTATTTATGACCCTCCTCTTGGTAGAATCCGGAAACTAGCCAAAACCTTCTTGACTAGCCACGAGCTATTCACGTCTTCACCCTTATCCTGTAATTGGGTGGTGATGGCTTGAAGTTGCTCCAGTAGCGAGCGTTGATCCCTCATTGACGGAGTGCGCAGCGCGCAAAATTCCAATCGTTCCACCAATTGATTCACGACTGCTTCCCTGTTATTGTTCTTTTTATGCAGGCACGCTACTGCTCTGAGTAATTGTCCTTGGTGACTCTGAATTTCATGCTCTCGGGCCTCTCCTTTTAGCGCATCTGACAAGTAGTTACTATTTGACCATTTCCTGAAAGCAGCCCTGCTGGAGTGGATATTGTTGCTAAAAATGTCCCAAAAATTGTCTCATTCCCATGTATTCCCTGCAAAGGTCGGTATAGGATGCGACGGTAACTCCATTGGCTTCGCATGTATATAACTCATCACTGTTGTCGATAATGTTTCGGACCCATGTACTAAACTCATTTGCACCGATCGACCATTTTCCGGGTCTTTCTGTGATGCCCATGCTTGTCGTTGGGCCTGCAGGAGCATGATATGATCAAAGGCCAGCGCCAAATCATCTTCTGTTTTGGCCGCATACGACTTGAAGGACGAATTTACGATGGGAAAAGCAACCCATTCCAAATTGAGGTAGAGATGGTGAGTAGTACCAGAAAGAAAGCGAAACCACGAAAAACGGCCCAGAACCGGAGAAATGGGACCCCTTCCTTGTCCGTTGATTTGAGCATTGATGGGACTCTCATCGCTTTGCCCTCTTCAACCCTACGCTCTCTCAGCTATCTAATCACTCGCCACCTATTGTACTACGGCGAGTGATCAGACGATCGGTGGGCGGAGATCGCCGAACTCGCCAACTTTGAGCCATGCTAGATCTCAGAGGTCAAATCTTTCGATGCCGATTGCGTGTCTGTCCGCACCCTCAAGAGATTCACCGCTCTCCCCACTAGGCGATTTCTCCCTTCTTCGACCTTCGTTCTTTCCGTGCAATCCTCCTTTAAATCCGCCATGTCATCGTCCTTAATGTCTCCATGATTATCCAGAGCTGCGGCCAGGTCGAAAAGTCCCTTTTCCACCTTCTCCATTATTGTTTCTATTGCTTTGATCGCTTCTTCTATTATTATATTGGCGATATTGTCCGCCCTTCCTTCCCGTGGGGTATTGGGATCGAGTGAAAGGTCCTCTAGTTTTTCCGTCCGGATTTTGCCTACCACATTTTCTAACCTATTGGAGAACCTTGTTAGCAGGCGCTTATGGGTTGCTAATTGCGTCGCCATGATCCCTTATTGAAACACTGACACGGGCCAGAAAGATAAATAGTCCGTTATTAAAAGATATCTTTCTCGAAGGAGAAGAAAGCGAAAAAGAAGGAAACAATAATGAAGCCGTTACACCCAAAATGAATGCGGTTAAGTAAATTCCGATATTGAAATGAAAAAAACCGCAGTAGAATTTTGACTACCGTAGCCAAAATGTCAAACCGACCTGAGTCCGTTATTGGCCGATGCACCAAAAATTTGTGGTGTCCCCAGTGGTGTGACTCCTGTCTGTTCCGTGCTCGCCTACTGTGTGCCACGCGGGTTCTGAAATTGGACGGTACCAGACAAAAGTACCACTAATATTTATTATATACAAATCGATATAGTAGACACCAGAAATCTTCCACGTACTCGTCCTTTATTGCGGCGATGCAGGAGGGACGAGTCCGATATTGCGGCAATCACAGAGCAGGGGTCCGATATTGAGACGAGAGACGACGATGAGAAGGGATCCGATATTGTGCAGAGGGCTCCTTAACTTGAGCGATCGGCGTGCCAGCGGAGGAAAAAAACCCGATTCCCCCTCAGTCGCGGTCCTTTTATACGGTAGCGGACGTCGGCAGCGTAGGCTGAGAATGTAACCATATCCCTGCAAACATTCAAGATCAGCCTTCAGATAAAGAAATGGAGAAAGTAATATTGATTAACTGTAAGAAATAGAAGCTAGATCAAATATCCAAACTTCTAACCATTTTAGTGGCGCTAGCTACAGAAAGTTTATTTCAAAAGGCTTCGAAAGAACTCAATCTCAAAAGCTTTCCAAAATTAGTGCTATATTTCGGTGCCTAGCACCTTCGTCAGGCCTGAAATAGCTTTTCTTAAAGCAACAATCCAGGAACGAATTCGCGGGTAAGGACCACCTATAATGACGTTGCAGGTGAGAAGTTGGTCAATGGAGAAAGAAAAAGTAGAAAAAAACGTCGGGCAGGGGCTTAGACAGGGACTCCCCCTGCCGTTTAGGGAGATGTGTGTTGGACGAGTTGTCCGAACCTGCCCGTAGTACATGCGCTCCAGTTGACTGCTGGCAAATAGCCATGCATGCTTGCAAATACATAACTATTTGCCAGCAATCGAAATTGAAGCGCTTCAATTGGGTTCTTATGGAATCGACCTCATACAGCGCGGCGGTCCCGCAACGACCGCTAGTCGAGCAAGCGCTCTGCACAGCGAATGTTGGGCGATCCGCCTCTTTATGGGTGATCCGCCCCCTCCAAGAGGACTTCGACCCCTTCCAGCGCATTTTAGAGGTAGGTTTTGAAATTAAAGACATTTCCTATAAACTTTAGTTGGGCTGGGGCATGTTTTGACCGCCTCGGGTCTCCCCGCCTTCCGGAGCACTCCTCTGACCTTTCAATTCCTATGATCAAGATAAAAGTGGGACAACCATTGCGCACGCAGGGTCTGCTGGAAGGCGACTCCCTGCTGTTCACTGAGCTGCCTGATTATGACTAATCAACGTCGACCGGACTCATCCCACCTCACTTCCCTACTGACAGAAACTAATTTGCTTTCCTAATCTTCTTCTGCCAGCAGACCTTCGCGCTGGATCTCTTGGCCTATCTTTGAGGGCTAAGTCGACAACTTCTGGGAAGAAACTGCACCTTAGTTTTTTCACCATTGTTATGTTTCATGATTAATGGTTTGATAATTTTAAGTAAAGGCAACAAACCATAGGCTAACTTTTCCAGCGACTGCCATTCTTCTCTATTGCACTACCTACAGCCTTCAGAAAAACTGCACACGGGAAGAAGATGTACGAGAATCTGAAAAGAAATAAGGATAGGTTGGTTCTGTTCGAAATAAGCTATGTTGCAAGCAGCCTGTTAATAGCGGTAATGGCTACAAGTTTTGAATAAAGGAATCTTTCGCGGAAAATTCTTGCATTCTTTCTTGACATGAATGTGTCAGTTGTGATCACTGGAAACAGCACACAAAGTTTCACGCATGAAGATTCGGTTTCTGAAGAGAAACAAACGTACAAAAACTACACTCTATGGACAATCGAAGGTAATTCGGGCGGAGCCAAAGGCGAGGCATGGAAAGAAGTTGGCCTTTGGCCGGCTACGTATCAGCAGAGTCAACCCTGCGTTGCGCAGTTCTCAACGGCCACGTTGCGCAGTTTCGCCCGATTAGACACGTTCTCTCGCGCGAACATTCACACTCGCATGCTCGAGCCGTCTGCGTCTCCGCCCATACAGCGTGCGTTGAGGATCTCTCAACGTGCCGTTGCGAACTGCGCAACGCAGGGTTGACTCTGCGTATCAGGCGACGCAATGAAAGTCGGGTTAAAGCGCGCGATTTCGGAGAGTAGAGACAAATCGATCGATAGAATAGGATGGAGTAGAAGTGTAAGATGTGAATGCAATAAAGCAGAAGGCCAGAAAGAGTTTCTAGTGAAGGCACTCCAAGAACCAAGTGGAAGCATCCCCGTCGCCAGCATTTGTGAAAGACGTCCGTGGGCACTTTGAACGCGTAGCAGCCTTTCGATTTTTCGAATTTCAAAACAAAAGCAATATTTCTGTTCTTTTCATTCTTATCGTGGATAATGAGTCTCAAGCCAGTGATTTATGGCTGAAATAGAATCATGATTTTTCCGTGAAGGATTCCTTTAACCTTTTTTTTCTGGATTCTTTTTTGGTTCTTCCTTTTCGCCTTCGCTCGGGCCGAATGTTATATTTACACTCCTCCTCTTGGCCGAAACTTCTCACTTCGCGGATATAGCTCCCTCTTCATGATTAGTCCTGATCGCTGTCATCTAAGTACTCTGTTTCGAAAAGAATCTGCAGTAACGTCGGCTAAATGGAATGAAACTAATTACTGAGTGTCATCACCGAAGGGAATTCCTTCGCACGTTTTCTCCATTTTAACGGAAGCAATTCTTCATGTATCCTACTAACTATAAAGCGCTTCGTCTGTCGTTCTGTCTGTCGTTCTGTATGTCTGTCACGAAATTCCCTAGCTCCTCGGGATCCTGGAGGGACCGGGTCAAGTGTGGGATGGGTGGGCAAGGTCTCACGAAGTACAAAACACACATCAGCTAAGCGGAGCCCCGCCCACAGTGGGCGTGGCGTGCGTCGAAATGAACTGTACTGACGACCAAGATTTCAATTTCAGTGACAAAACAACCTCGAAACTGGGCCAAAAAGTGGGTAAAGGTGTGCATTGGTAAGTCACATCGAATTAGGGAGACCCACCCCGGTGGGCGGGGCGTTCTCCAAAAAAGCAGTGCTTTATGAAAAATTTCATAACTCGGTTGGGAGAAAGCCTACAGAGCAGAAAAAATTGGTGTAGGGGAGCAATGTCTAAGGTGTTTCCAGCATACATGACGTGGGCGGAGGCCCGCCCAGAATGGGCGGAGCGCGCTCTGAAGTGTACAGCATTTTCTACAAGTCCTCATAATTCGGGCCGGGAAGTCTTAGTGAGCCGGAAAAAGGTGGATAGAGGTGGGTGGAGGAGTGGAGGCCAACTGTCATCGGTGGGCGGGGCATGACCAAAGTGGGCGGAGTTTGCGACGAAAATTCATAACTCGGTTCCAAGAAGTCCTGGAGACCGGGAAAAAAGTGAATTGAGTCCGTCAACGGAAGGGAGGTCAACTGCTATTGGTGGGTGGGGCGTGCACCAAGTGGGCGGAGTTTGCCAGATTCATAACTCGGTTCCAGGAAGTTCCAGAGTTCGGGTAAAAAGTGGGGAGAGGTTGGCGAGGAAGAAAAAGATAGGTGGGACATGCAACGAAATAGGCGGAGTTTACCACGAGGTTTATAAATCGGTCCAGAGGCAGTCCGGGAAAAGCGGACAATTGGTTGACGAAGAAGGGAAGGTCAAAAGCCATCGGTGGATGAGCATGGGACAATCGGATAGAATTCAGCTTGAAAGTCAAATATTCGAAGTGTATTGGGCCAAATTCGAGAATTTACGCCGCACCATCCCATATCGCCGCAGAACTGTGCTGTGCGCGCAACGCGTGCGGCGCCAACTGGTATTCTTTGAACTGGCAAAAAATTTCCTAATCCTGAGTAATCGATAAAAGAAGAGAGGTTTCCGCTACAACGGGGAGCAGAAGATTATCGGTCGCTGGAGGACTGCACGGGTTTCGTTGGTTCAGATACATCGCGGTCGAGTCTTTCCTAAGGATATATTGTGGCTCTT